AATAAATTCACAAAATAACAGCATTTTCTTCGGTGTTGGTTTAAGTTACCTAATATATCAATAGTTATACTTACTTCTTTCGCTCGCTTCCATACAGTAGAAATTTTGCATACTTGGCTTTTTTGTCACTGAGCCGCAGCGTAGTACGTACCAACGCTCGGAAGGACAGCACAGGTCTGATCAGCATCGAAACAATAGAATATAAATTTTTCGAATTGTGGTCGCGCCTTGGTAGGATCCTTTCGATCGTATTTCTGATATGCTTAAAAATTTTCTCATAAAAATCCATCAGCCTTATGAAGGTGTCTCTATTTGTTGAACAAACATCAAGACACCACAAATTTGGGAAGAGTTAGGCTGAAAATCGCTTCAGCGATTGCAAAGCGCCAATTGTCCATACATATTCCACTTTTGATTTTCCGAAATTTTGTAATTTTTTTATTATTAATTTGCTTTAAGAAACTTTTGCCTACTCTGGGATATTTTATGTTCTGTAAAAATTAACTTGTCTATCTTCACTTCCACAAATATTCCACTATTGAATTTTACGAAAATCGGAATGAATTTGATCATCCTCCCCTCTCTACTGAATTTTATTCTTCCTCTGAATGTCCCTTATCTTCTGGCGAATACTCCGCAACAGCAAAGGGAAATTATAAATAGCGAAAATATTAATAACCTTAATTTAAGATGTAAACCCCTCAAATTGAGTTGCCTGTCTTTATAGGAAGGAATTCCCACTCCACACTTGTGTTGATAAGAGGCGTGCCATTTAGCACGCCTACTTTTCTACGTGCGTATACAAAAATAATTAATCGCAAACCTGTCAAACAGATTTCGTTAATGACTCAAGTGTCTATCAAAAAAGCTTCTCTGAACTTCCTAAACAAAGCAGCTGACAAGTGAGCGCCACCAACAAGCGCTTGTGCTGTTTGCTCATGCACCTGCAAGAACACACATGACTTTGCCTACATGAATTCGTACGTATGTATGTATGTGTTGGTTTTCGCATATCAACGTCGCTTAATAAATTCTTCAACCTCGATTGGCATGCCTCGGGTCAATTTACCGATAGCCGAGGCTCGTAGCTAAGCAGCATAGCAACGGCTGCACAAACGAAACCATCTCATGCCCATATGTACATACATTTGTATGTATGTATGTATGGATACCTGTAAGCTCACCGCTTGGCGTCGCCTGTGTTGTTTAACATGAACTTGACGAGTGTAGCAAGAGCAGTAGTAACCGCTATTTACATAATTCGATGCATGAAAACGATGTAAAAAGCGCACAGCAACAGTTGCATATATGTATGTATGTATGTATGTATTTATGTATGTATGTATTTATGTATGTATGTATGTATGTGTGTATGTGTGTAAGAACAATGCAGTGGAGAGAACGAGTGTCAGCCTTATTTGTGTAGTGTGAACGAGTATGAGCTGCCTTGGAGAATTTCAATTAAAATTTTAAATTTTCTTTTGTTTTTGCAATTTATACGCTGCACACTGTATATCAAAATCATCAATTAAGCATCTACATACAACAATGGCTCCCTACGGCGTGTTCCCTTAAGGGCACTCATGTAGAACAAGCGCAATCAAACAAGAGCAGACTCGCCTCGTGTCGTCGCAGCCGAACATGTGTAGAACAGCGTGTACGTGTAGATTATGCGTGGCTGGCTGATATATGTACATACATAAATATAGTGTGGCGCTAAAGGCGATCGGCGGACGGCCGGTCGCTCCGTCGGCCATCCCCAACCAGGCAAGCGGGAGTCAGTAGTTAGTGTCGTGCATGCAATTTATTGCGTCATTTACCAAGTGCGTGCCCATTCACAAGTTGTTCGCGTGGTAATTGCGAACAAGCTGATGTGCACTCGTTAGTTTTCGCCTCAACAACCGGAGGTGACAATGTGCAATCGAAAATTCCGCAAGATTACGGTATTGATAGAAAGAGAAAATTAATTTTCGAGATAGATTTGTTGCGCGTGGTCATCGGGCAGCAGATCAGGCGGACGGTGGAGTTTTAAAAATGACAAGTAAATTAAATCACGCATCTCGGGGAAGAAGAACGAAACTGAAACTGAAAAGCGGATCAAAATGAGATTCACGGGAGTGGGATAATCGAACAGGATATATATGTATCAGGAACTCGTGGACTAAAATCCATTCTATCTTTTGTGCGACGGAGAAAGAAATAATTTATAACTGCTCAACCTTTTGGCAACGCTGGAACTCTGCAAGTGACTGACCAACAAGAGCGTGTAATGATTATAGCTCATAGAAAAGCTCGCAGTGGATTATTCTTAACAGGAACTAAGCATTGACGCTTCTGATCTTTTCGTTTCAGACACTTGAATAAGTTATTCACTCACACCTACCATTGAGAAGCTCACTCCTAGCAAAAACTCTAAAGATACGTAAACTCTCCTCTAAGATCACTTCCACTACTTAATAGACAACCGAAAAGTCTCTACCCTCTAGCCGCCACATTGCTGATGCTGCTCCTACATTCCAAAATCCATCTGCACCGTCGCATGCCAACTTAGCATGCTCGGCAACATAATATGACATTGCCTAACTGTGTTTGGAACATACGTGTACGTACGTACTTCATGTTGCGGTATTTTCGAAATTAATAAATCGTAGGTGTTTGCAACGACCTTGTTGAAATGCCTGCTTGCTTGCCAACTCAGTCGAGACTCACAGTGGCGGAGCAGAGCTTGCCAGTTGGCGTTGATTTTATCGGTGTGTGGCATGAACGGCACATCAGTCACACGCAATGTAGCGGCGCATCAGTTGAATTGCACGCCTGAAGGTCTCTGCATGGATTGTCATTTGTCCATGAGCGGAACTTGCAGGCAAAAAGAAAAGAAAATGACACAAAGCTGGTAGTGTCACGTTATAAAGAAGCGGGAAAGAATTTATTTTGCCACAAAATATTAGTTCTTATACCCTCTACCATTCGGTGAAGGATACCTACTAGCCATCTGATGAAGACCCGACCGCTCTTCTAAATTGATGGGCCAAAAAAGACTATGAAAGCACATTTCATAGGTTAGCTCAGGAAAGTAGAGAGCTTCGCCTTAAAGATACCCAAGATGAAATGATAAAGAACAGCCGACGACGATTTTATAAGCGTCATTCTGTTCCTTTATCATATGCTTCATACCAGAGAGCCTAGCCTTGGAAGATGACTATAGCAAATCCAGATTGCTTATGTGCTAAGGATTTGAGTCTACATGGGTCGGACTTTCAGTTTGTGCGTTGGCGTGTGGATCTCGAAACCAAGCCGCCTGGTCTCTATTCACACGGTCGTGGACTCAGAAACTTTTTGCTTTTCTTCTAGAAGAATCGCATTGCCATGAAGGGCATACATTTTAGTTGATTTCCGCAATCTAACGGCGCATAGTATGCGCTTTCAACATCAAGCCATTGCATGCTGCAACAGCGTAGGCCGCGTGTGTATGTACGGAGCTGCTGTGCAACTGAAGCTGATGAAATGGCAATGACAATGACGGCGATGGTGTTGAAATGAACCTTGGCGTTTTTATCTTGCGAAACATTTTAACGGTGTCTAAGTAACGGCTGTTACTCTAATGATCCAAATAACACGCTTCCCATCGAACGGCGACGACAAAAGCACACTCTGTGTAAAACATGTTAAACAAAGCTGAAGTTCAAGCTCTAACAAGTACTCTTTCGTTGGGCTGAAGTCCCTTTGCGTCTTGTTGCGATATATGTACGTATGTATGCGAAGAACTCATTACTCTAGTTTTGCTTCAGTCATACTGTGAGATACAAATCACTCTGCGGATCATTTGAGTGTGCACGTGGGCGCAACATGAAACTCGGACACACGCCGGACTGAAAAAAAACAAAAATGGCAGGCAATATGAGGTTGCAATACCTACGCAAATTCTAACTGCTGAGGCTGAGCTAATCTATGGCCTTTTGCATAAAAGATGCTCTGGATTAAAACTGGTGGTGCTGATGTGGTCCGCTTTTTATGTAGAGCTGTCCGGTGGAACCTTGGATTGACAATTCAGCGACCACAAACAAGCCACTGATCGGCTGATGGAGATAAATTAACGTAGCTTTTAGCAACACATTTTGGTTCTCTGAATGCTGGAGGTAGTCATCTTATTTTCACCACTAAATTGTTACATGTTTATTAGATGAAATGAAAAAAGTTTTGGATTTTGATATTTCCAATTCCGTTATCACTGTAAGCACAACACTGTAATATCTCTGGTAAACTTGTTCAAAAGCTCTACAATTGAGCTTCACATAACTGGCAAAGTTTTGCTAGCTGCCGCTAGATGACCCACAACACCACACTGGTGGCAAGTTGTTAAGAAGGTGTGAAACTTCCAGCCAAACCTCTTTTTAGCTGTTTAATTTAATTTCATTGGATTTTTTGATTATTTATTCATTTTGTTTTACTATTTGTTTCTTTTGTTAAATTCTATTTTATTTTTATTTCATATTTATTTTTTATTCTATTTTATATTTTATGTTTTGGTAATTTTTTTCTTTTTTTTTTACTCTATTTTTCCATTAAATATATTATTTTATTTTTTTTCTATATATTTTATTTTATTTTAATTTTTAAATTCATTGCATTTAATTTAATCAAACTTATTTAATTTTATTATTTTCAATTTTTTTTTTTACTTTATTTTTTGTTTTGATTTCTTTAATTTTTATTATATTTTATTCATTTGTTATTTTTTATTTAATTTTATAATACTATTTTTTAATTTATTTAATTTTTATATATATTTTTTTATTTCTTTTTTTTAATTAACTTATTATTTTCCTTTATTAAATATTTTTATTTTTTTTATTGTTTTTCTTTTTCAATTTTCTTCCTTTTTTCATTGTGTTTTATTATATTTTGTATATTTTATTTACTCTTTTTTAAATTTATTTAATGTAATGAAAAACTTAAATAATTAAATTATTTTTTTTTATTTTAAAGCATTTTTGTTTTCTAATTAAATATAAAAACTTCCTTTATTTATTATACAGCAAGAAGTAAACTTCGCCTCATTACACCAACAACCAATTTTATACAATGTTTTGTAAATTAAAATACAAAAGATATTCACTATAATTACAACAATACTTACACGTTATGTAATTGAATAAAAATTATGCAGAAATTTACAAATTAAATAAAATTAAATGAAGAATGGGAAAATATTTAAATTGAAGAGAAAATGTAATATGACAAGGCAATTAGAATAGAATGAATCAATGGAGAAGCGAGAAAAAAAATATGGAAATGGAAATGAAAAATCTGAAATTCATCCATAAAAAATCAACAATTTTCCTAGAATTAACTGTAAAAAGGAAAATCCTAATATTAACTTCTTTTATATCTAATAAATTTAATTACATACATACATAAATATATACATATTTAATCTGCTCTTTTTTCTACGGGTCTGTTTTGATATACATATGTTTACATCATATACATACATATAAGTAAATACATATTTCCATACAAAAGAAATCTATTTAATCCTTAATTACCTTCGATAGAAAATCTTTAGCATCCGTATGACCGGCGCTTCGAACAGAACTGAAATGAAGAAGGCCACACCAAAGGACGCCACCGCGTTCCCCAGAAAAATCGTCATTACGAAGAGATTATTCAGGTGCACAATGCCGCTCATGCGAAAGGAGGTAATTAGCATTATCACCGGGTGGATGAGGTAAGTGCAGTAGGTGAGGCGTGAGAGCGGCCATAGACCGCGATAAGAGAGTATACGGTTGGCGGTGGGCGCAATGCCCCAGCAACAGGACAACACTATCCAGATGAGGCCGACGCCGAAGGCTGTCAGTGGCCGATAAGAGAATGAAACAAAAGAAAGCATAAAGAAATAACTCAACTCACCTGTATGGCCAATGCTCACATAGAACGCTGTTGTCAATCGACTTAGCTCGCCATTCCACACGCCGAAAATGATGAGCCCCAGCAGTGACACGCTGCCCAGCCAGAGCAGATAATTTGTGCGACTGCTGATAGGCGGTGGTTTCTTCACTTTGTAAATAATGAAACCGGCCAACATGCCTGTGAATGAAAAGAATTTTAACAAAATTTTGTGTTAAAAACTGAAGAAGAAATATATGTATATTAAAAAATTTTATAACGTTTTTTTTCTTACTATATGAAAAGCGCTTTTTTTAAGTTTATTTTATTTCCTATTTTGTTCCTAAAAACATTTAATTCGTTTTGTGTTGAATTTTGTGAGTAAAAATTTCCAAAAAAAAATGTTTAGTCCCGAAAAATAGAAACTAAAATCTTCGGCACAATTTTTTGTATTGGAAATTTAATTTTCTTACCTAAAAAGTGTAGAAAAATGATGATGTATTTTAATAATTAGTTTTAAAAGGATATTTTTATCGATAAATGGGAAAAATATTCTTTAATTTCTTTAACCACATAATTATTTAACAGTTCACGCCTAAAACTATGCCACACATACCCATAATATAAGTGCCCACACGCTGCCAAGGTTTGTCATACAGAAAATCGAATGACTCAAACGGATTTGCCACTTTATGCGTGTAACGGTAATGCAGAGAAATAATGCCGGTAATACCCCAAGAGCTGAGCAAAAACGAGCAGACGATAATTGCGGTGGTCTTAAAGTACCTAAAAGTAGTCAAAGAAATTTTAAATTAAAAATTTTATAAAACAAAATAAAAAACACTCACCTCGTTGAGAGCACCAAAAGAAGCGAAGCCATAACGAAGAATTGCATATCATTAGCCATATACCAACTCCAGATCATACAAATCTCACTGAGCGGATAAAAATTATTGACATAAAGTATATTACGCCACCAGTAGCTGCTACAAGTGTCGGCGGCGACATTTGGCTGGAAGACGGAATTGTTGAAAGTTTGGCTGGAAGCACAGAATTCGAGAATTTATTAAAATTATATATAAATAAATCAATAAATAATGTGGAAAAGGAGGGGAATAACATTTCTTTGGTCTAATCAAATAAAATGAGCAACAACAACGTCAATCCTAAATGTAGACAATAAACATTTTTTAAATCATTTTTTTCATGCTTTACAATAATTGTAACTTAAGTGAAGTACGCACTTTAAATTATCGATTTCGAAAACATTTCCCATAATAAAATTGAAGTCTTCCAATGAAGCATACTCTAGGGCGCATGTGGGTAACGGTGGGGAAGTTATTAAATGAAATTGCATGCTTTATGCATGGCTGCCAAAATGCGCATATGTGCATTAATTGAAAATACCACAATTGATTATAATCAATAACAGGCTTTGTTGCCTACCATCAGGCGTATGACCACAGCAATAAACACATTTTTCGCCATAATGCAAGAGTTTGTAGTAAAACAAACAATCATGGCAATGAATTTGCTGAAATTTGAGCATCCGGCGAATTTTGTTGCATAATTACAATTAGATAACATGTGGTTAGTAATTAATTGATAAAATTATTAAAAATTGTAATCGTTTTTAAAAGGCTTCTCGCTGAAAAGCAATGGTTATGCTTGGCATTGCATACTTACAGGCGCTAATTTTTTTCTTTTCACCATTCATACTCACCGCAGTGTAAAATCATTGAAGAAAATCACAAATAAATATGCCGGCGTCAAACGTATGTAACGGTACAACAATAAAAAGCCGGTATCTTTCATGCTACGCTTTAAAAAGCGACCGGCGTCGTCGGGATATTTCTTATCCTGTTTCAGAAAGATCAAAGTGACCAGGAAGCCGCTGATGAAGAAGAACGTGTCAACCGAAAAAGTGGCATTACCAATGAACTGATACCAAATCGAGCGCTCGACAATGTTGCGCTGGAACTGTGAAATGAAGACAAAAACAAAGCGAACGAAAATTTAAAAAAAAAATTAAAAAGCAATGACAAGAAAAATTAAAAGGTAACCAAAAAGCGCCATAAAATCTAAAAGTGAATTTTTGACTCCAGTCAACGTGTACATCTCTGTATGTGCGTGTAAACTCCCCTTGTTTGCTAAGGACACATGTGTGTGTTGGTTGTGTGTGTGTGTGTGCATGTGTGTGTTGGCATTTCTCAACTTACTCTTTTACTGTTTTCTTAAACTTAAGTGCTTAAAAGCATAATAATATTTACTCTATTTTCGCCGATGGTAAACATTTGCAAATATGTATGCACCATTATGGTCCACAGCACGGAGAAGACACGCAGGCCGTGTACACAGGAAGTTTGTTGCTGCAAAATCCAGGGAGAAGTAGAAAAAAGAGATGAACAAAGAAAAAAGACAAATAAACAAAAATAATAAAATAATGAAAGTTAAGTGCGCAGCAGAGAATCCGTTCTTATTAGAGAAGCGAACTTTCGCAATATATAGAGAAGCAGTCAGGAAATAAAAGCTTCGGAAAAAGTTTACAAATTTTACAAATTTCTTTGTTATCCTTAAAGCCTTTTGATGCTTGCTCTCGACCGCCGTATTGTTTGATTTTTAATGCCTTTAACGACAGCGAAAAACTGTTTATTAAGAAATTTAAGTTTATTCTTACATTTTCTGATCAAAATAATTTTTTATGATAATTTTTTATTAAATTCAACTCCGATTTAATTTTACTTCAATTTCATGCCTACAAAATACATAAATATTTATATGCATTGTTATTCATTGAAATATTTCCCTCGTGGGCTTACTTATTAAATTCAATTTTACTTCATTTTTATATATTGAAAACATCAAAAATATATTAAACAATATTGAATATGAAATTATTGACTCCTTTGAAAACTTCCCTCTCGAGATTTTGTAAATTTATCTTTTTTATTATATTTTAAATTTTCCTTGGAGGGCAATTTTTTTTTGAGTTTGCTATTTTCTCTCTTTCTTCCTGATTTGAATTTTATAATCAAATATATAACAAAGGGAAATTTTCAAAATATCCCTTCAAGGGGGAATTTCTGGAAAATTTAACATTGGAACGCGTTGAAAAAGTTAACTTTTTAACTTTTATGCATATATGTACTAGAGCAAATGTATGCATTTTTCAGCTTCATCCCTTTTTTTACATTTTTTATGCATGGTTTTTCCTTTTAATTTAAAATTTGCTACTCAGCAAAAACAAAATTCTCACTCAGCAAAGGAAATTTGCATTTCAAAAGTTTGCCAAATTTCATGCACTACCAACATCGACAACAACAAGACAACAACAACAGGTCAAGCGCTGCCAATTTACCAAATCAGCTTACCTCTTTGTTCTCGGTCATATTGAGTATGGTGCCGGCATTTGTTTGAAATGCAAAACATAATAAAAACTGTTCATGCAAACCTACGAAACAAAAACAAAAAATGTATGGTTGCAAACTATCAAGCCACCACTCCATATGACCTTACCCAATGGCTTCTTCGCCTCATACGTGCTCGTTGTACCCGCACTGCTGCCCGTCTCCAGGCGATAATCGACCATATGTGACTTTTCGACATCGGACGCCGAGTGCCGCCCGCTACTGCCACCACCGCTGCTGCCACTACTGACTCTAGCAACACCACCAACACTGCTGCTCGGACTCCCGCCTCCATTGCTTTGCCCATTCGCATGACCAGCTCCTGCACCGTTGTTAACTCTTGCTGCTCGTGTTGTTGTTTTATTGCCATTCACATCCGGCTCTATGTCAAGCACATTGTTGTTCTCACTCAGTGTGCTCATCTGATACAGTTCAAAGGCGGCTGGCGTCGCATTAGCTGCGGCTCCCCGCCTCGACTTTACACTACCTCCGGCGGAGACATTGCTCGTATAGGTACCCGCAGCACCGACATCCAACGTCACAATGCCACCGCCAGCCATGACAGCATCAATTTTTGCACTTATCGCCGGTATGTGCGGTGAGGCGAGGTGCAGCTGATTCAGTTTCGCCTGATACCAAGTGGCGGTGATGACCAGCAGCAGGAGAGTGAGCAAGAAACTTCTATAAAATTAAAATTAGCAAAAATGAATTCTCGGATAATTTTTTATTATTTTTAATTTTATTTTTTTTGTTGCTTTTGTAATACCCTCCAGCACTTACAAGAATATTTGAAATTTCAGTTCACGCCAATAGCTAAATAGACCCGGCACGGTGCGTACGTGGAGCACTTGTATGATGGTGTGATTGCTGTTGCTATTAGCGCTACTGCTATTGTTGCTGTTGTTGGCGTTGTGGCTCTGGTTAACGCTCTGATTGTGCTGTGCATGGTTGACAACCGCAGCATTGAGTGTGACTAGCATTTCTGCGTGCGGATCGAGGGCTAGTATGGCTTGTACATCGTGTGCGCTGCAAGAGCGTGGCAAGCATTCACCCACTTGTAGCTGAACACTCTGTTGAAGGGGAGGAAATTTAATGACAATAAAAATTAATTTAGTTACGAAAAGGGTAGAAGCACTAAAATATATATTATTGCAAAAATACCCTTCAGGGAATTTTTTGGGAAATTTTTATTTTTACTCTGTTTATATAAAATTTAACCAATATTAGTATATACTGAGGAAATCTGGTGTTTTTAAATATTTTTAGGCAAAAAATTTAAAAGAAAACGTGAAAGGACTAGTACTCTTAAAAAGCTTTTCAATAAAAGTTCTCAAAAAAATCTCACCAGCTGCTGCGGCATCTTTAGCTGCAACGCCACCAGTGCAGCATAAAATTCGAATTCGAAGTGCCTACGTTCATCCGGGTCCATTTGACGATTTAGCTCATAGCAGAAGGTCTTCTGACCCAACCATTTGTCATTGCCAAAGAACAACTGACCGCGATAACGGCCGGAGGCATCATAAGCTGCAGGAAAGAGCAAAAGTAATTAAAAGAAAAAATATCAAGGAAAAGTGATAAAAAAAGATATAAAAGGGAAAAGGAGTTAAGTCTATTTGCTTCTTCTTTCAGTTACTAAACCTTTCCTTTACATACACACATATATTTTCTTTTTCTTTCGCACATTTATAAAATTTATATCGCTTAATTTTCAACGCCATGCTGATCATAAAAAGCTTGCATTCCCTTTTTTCACTCTTCTGCTCTTTTGTTTGATGATGCAAAAGCCCTGGCGGCGGTAAGCGCAACAATGTAAACACTTAACGGGAATCGCAGTCATCTCCGTGACTAAAAAATGCAATTTTATAACCACAAGGCAACTAGGAAATGGTCAAAATTTAATCTTGTTTTGTTGTTATAGCAAAAAATATATTGTTAAATTGTGACTGTTCGAGAGAGACGGTATGGAAGAGGAGAGGGAGACAAGGAGTGAAAAAGAGTAGAGAAGTGAGGGAAAGGGAGGAAGGAAAGGGAAGAGAAAAGAAAGAAGAGAGAGGAGCGAAGAGAGGTAACGGGAGAAAACGATAGATATAGAGGGAAAAAGGAATGGAAAAGAGGGAAAGTGAGGGATATAAAGGAGAGAGAGAAGGAGAGAGAAAGGAGAGATTGAGGAGAGAGAGTGAAAATGGGAGAGAGAAGGAGAGATAGAGAAGGAGAGATAGAGAAGGAGAGATAGAGAAGGAGAGAGAAGGAGAGAGGTGAGAGAAAGAGAGAGAGAGAGAGAGAAGGAGAGAGATGTGAGAGAGAGAAGGAGAGAAATGTGAGAGAAAGAGAGAGAGAGAAGGAGAGAGGGGTGAGAGAAAGAAGGAGAGAGAGGTGAGAGAAACAGAGAGAGAGAGAGGGAAAGAGAGAGAGGTGAGAGAAAGAGATAGAAATAGAGAGAAGATGAGAGAGAGGGAAGAGATAGAAAGAGCATTGTGTGACGAATAAACTGGACATTCGTAGAATAAATAATATTTATCAATTTTGGAACTGAAAAAAAATGTTTTTGGTATTTATTTCGAATTCGGTTACTCCAAAAATATTAAAGCCAGTGAATTCCAATTTCAATCTCCATAGGATAAGGAAGAGGTAAGTGTTCTGACGTTCTCAGCGCTCAAATCTTTATTCATTTTCATTATTTTTAGTCTACCCTATATTTACTAATCTCATTCTCCACTATTCTTCGCAATCATTCCTCACGTTTGGAAATCACCCAGTAGCCCACAAAAAACCTTTACAAATACTCATTAATTAATTTTCTCCCACTTTATTGTTTGTTTATAGCCTTCATATGCCTACATTTACATAAAAATCCATCAAACTCTAATATTCGCTCGCTTCTTCGCTCCCCACTCTGTAATTACCAGCACATTAATGGCCCATTACAGTTATCATTTTGTACGATTGTCGCTCAAATGACCATTTACGATTCCTACTTTTATCCTTACCACTCCACCACACACACACTGCAACCCTGCTCACATTCTGTAGCCTACAACCTTCCACGAGCCGCGTGGGCTGGGCGGAGGTGCTCGGCATAAATCAGCGCAGGCAAATAAATTTACAGTCCATTGCATTGATTCCATTCGTGAATGTGCTGGTAATTATTGCGCGCGAATGCATAAATCAACAAAAAAGCAACAACAGAAAATGGTGAGTAAAAACTGATTTACTGAGTGCAGGGGTGGCCAAGCTCCTGTCGCCATTGGTGGTAATTAAATTCGTCGTTTAGAGTGAGCTGGCAGCGTGTGGGAGTCGAACTGTGGCGGAAGGACGCATACACATGACTATTCGAATGTTCGATTGTAGTTGTTAAGGATTTTCCCGTAGTTTAAAAGGATTTTCATGAATTAGGGATTCTCATTCTTCGCATTTAAACTACGAAGAAAATAATTTGTTCATTTCAGCAAATTTGCAAAATTTCGAAACCCAAAAACCCGGGATCCCGAAAAGTTTCCCATATCGGTATTGTGGCCACTAAAAGGAGGTCAGCAGGCGCCAATTGTGTATTTTAATCAAGCCGAAGCACAATAAGCAATTTTCTAAAATTGTGGCTTGTGAAAACGAAATGGAATTATGAAAAATGTGTAGGCATGTGTGTGTTGTATGCCTCCGCCTCTCTCGGTTACGTCATAAATATAATTTGAAAATTGAAATATTGCTGTCAGTGGTGCATGATTAATGAGCGTTTAATGATTGTCCTGCGACAATAGTAATGAGATGTTTTAATATTTCATTATTTTATGTGGAGCTTTTGCTGTTTAAATTCGTTAAATGAGGTTAAGTCAGCACTAAAAGCGGACGAAAAATATTCTCCAAAACTGATTGGCTGCACAAGACGATAAGTCTTCTACCCTTCTCCTAGAACGTGGTTAGTCTTTATTTGAGTTCATCGAGCAAAGCAGACCTCGTTTAAAAGGAGAGGAAGCTGGAAAGATTGGAATCATTTCTTTATTTATTGGCTAATAATCAGCGGAACCCCGGAAAGCCAGCTTAAATCCACTTTGACTGGCTTCAACTCCGAAAAAGAGTCTCGAAGCGTGTTTGCCTCTTCTTTCATCATTCCAATTTGTGAGGCGTTAACTACAAAGGGAGTCATATTCTCTTCTTGCTTTACCCAGCACCGCTTTAAGGCAGCGTGTGGCACGGACCTTGTATTTCGGAGTACATAATTTTTCACAAAGGCCCCTTCCCTCGACCCTTTCACTGCAGCCAACTTACCTTTTTGCGCCCAATTGAAATTTCCATGCAAACCCGTCAGGTACGCCTGCATTTCCAAACCACAAGCCGTCGTAACCCTCGTGCGTATCTCCGAGGCATGCCAGTAGAAGTGATCATAAAGGTTCGTTATGATTTGAAAGAAGTTCGCCGAATGCAAGCTCGACGCTGTTGCATTCACTTCACCCACCACAGACTCGGCGCCAAAATAATGACTTATGCTGTTGAAGTTATTTCCTGTGAGCTTTGGCGTCTCCTCCTCTTGCTTTAGCAGTTCTCGGCCCTTTTTCAATGTTTTATTTTTGTGCACCTTAAATACATGCGGACTTACGGTGCCCACCACGTTGGGTGTGGTAATGATTGGTGCGGGGGTCGTGCTGCTCACCGGTGTCGCATTGGTCGGCGGCACCGCCGTGGTATATGCAGTCAATGTGAGTTCGGTTGCTGATGCGACATCAAATGCCAAGTCGCTCTCAATACCGCTTACAAAAGACGGCGGCAGCGCGCGTTCATTGTAACTGAGTCCAGTCTCCTCGGCATTACGCAGCAGATGCTTCTCCTCGGCGCTTAAGTCGCCCTTCTTCACGGTTTCATGTTCGAGATCCTCCAAATCGCTCAGATTAAAGTCGAATGTGACTGGATGTAATTCGTATTCTTTGAGTGGTCGTGGTTTCTCATATTCAGAGAAAATCGTTTTGTCGAGTAGTGTGTAGGGTTTCTTCTTCAACGGTTTCACGGGCAGCACCTCGTGTGTGTTCAGCACGAGCGGCCGTTCGGTATGTGCGGCAAGCTCGTGTACTTCGTGTAGTATTGTTATGTTGTTGCTGCTGGAGAAACGATGTGGCACGAAGTGGCTGCCTGAACTTGCGACATCTGGTGGCGATGTTGTGGTTGTTGTCGCGGAGTCTGTGTTGTTGCTTCCCAGCGGTTCGGTGACGGCGTGTTGAAGACTCAATGGTAGGTATAGCAGAAGTAAGATAAGTTTTAGTTGAATTTGAGGCGTGGTGGATTTCCGACAAGTAATGGAATACGAGTTGAACATTTTTTTTTATTAAAATTAATATACTTTTAAATTTCAATAAATTTTAGATTTTTTCACATTTCTTGCACTTTTATTTGAAGTACTTCTTCAGGTTTGCGTTTGCAGTAACTATGAGTTTTAGCTTACACATTTTTATTCACTTTTCTTTCGCATGGATTTATCTATTATCTATTGTACAAAAAAAGTTGCTCATGATATATATATGATATATAATTAAAAATGTAAAATAAATAAAGTCTAAAACAAATAAAATATAAAAAATAACACAATATAAATCAAAAATAAGAAATAAATGAAAATTAAATAAAACAAAGAGAAAAAATCAAATAAACTAAAAAAGCGCCTTAAGGTAGGCTACACTTTTTTTGTTTCTCTTCAATTTCAACATTTATCACTTTCCTCTTGCACTGTGTTCATAATTTATGAATGAAATAAACGGGTTTGTGCTTGCTTTCTACTATTAATATATGTATGTACAACAACAACAATAATAACAATAACAATGACTACCGGCAATAAATGGTGCGACGCCACCAGACAGGAAATGGGCTAGGAAATTGGCATAAAAGCGGCAAAATATCTTTGCTGATTCTCTTTTGATTAATTTTTAGTGGCACTGAGATAAAAACAAAACAAAACAAACAAAACTCAAAGCTCCTAAAACAAAAAAAAAAAAAAATAAAAAGAAAAGAAGAGAGCAAAATTCCAATCTCTTTGAAAAAAGAAGAAGAAGAGCGCTAAAAATCCCAAACTAAATTAATTTATTGTTAAAGCGAAATGCAAGCGACGGTGTATGCAACGAATTGAAATGAAAAGAAAAGTGTCGGCGGGTTGGCAGTCAGCTGTGACTGAGATCGCGGCACGCGAACGTGCGAGTGGCTTTAGAGTAATAGCGGCTGTCTTGCCGCCGTCACCTCCCGGGTGGAGGGAATAACACAACGGCACATGCTCGACCTGTTTCATTAGCAACCAGCTGCTTGCTGGCTGTTGGCTGTTGGCTGTTGGCTGGTGTCTGCTCGTTCATATTGTTTTGTTTTGTTTTTGCTCGTTTTTGCCACTTCATTTATTTTTTATGGTTTTTTATTTGCAGTTTATTGCCCGACACACTTCCAGCTGCAACGATGCATTAAGTTTTTTATTTATTTTCTTTCATTTCTCTCTTCTTTGCGCATTTGAAATACCTGTTGCACGTGCGATTACGCGATATTTTCTATGCGATAAACTCTAAGTGCATTGGGGAATAAGTGGTGAGGAAATTCGCTTTCCAGGAACTATATCTTTTTTTTTGTTCTCGGGGAGCGTGATCTATTAAAGGTATTCTTTGCTGAGTAGACACCACTTACGCGATTATAACCAAAAACCACCTTGTTTTAATTTTTCCTCAAATGAGCTTTTTAGACTCTGTGCTCCTCCCACATCAAGGCCCGACTAAAACTGAGAGCTCTGGGGTCCTTGCAATTGGACAATGTAAAGCTATACAAAAAGCCGGATCTATCCCATTCTACCTTCACCACGTTTATCCTCATTAGTGGCTTGTGGGATAAAATTTCCGGTCTTTCTTTTCTCTAATTTTGATTCTTTTTTTTTTAATACATTTTTTTTTTCTTCTTCTTCTGCATCTTCCTATTTCAAATGCATTTTCACATATTCACGCTACAGATTTTCTGATTTAAATTTATTGTTGCTCATTTTTTTTAATTTTTTTTGCTGCGCCACGAAATGAAGTAAAAAGTTAGAAAATTTTCCTGCTTTTGTGCCACCGCAGTAATAACAACAACATTACAAATATAACTAATAAACCGGCTGCAGCAACTACATCAGTACATAACTACATAAATACATATGAACTCGTATATATATTTCACAATATGGCGTTGCATGTTGCATTTGATGGCAGCCACCACATTCAGCGTGTTGTTGTAATAATCCATATTGTGGTTGTTATTGTATTTTGTTGATGCAATCTAAGTGACGGTGTTTCTTGTCCAAGCGAATTTACAACCACTTTGCTGTTGTTCTGTTTACTTGTTGTTGTTGTTATTATTATTTTTTTTTTGTTGCCTCGACAACAAATGGCCGCGATAAGCTTGTTGACCAAAACCGGTGTTGAAAAGCGAATTACACAAGCACTAAGGATCGATGGTCTAAATTTACAACAACATAATACAAAGAAATGAAGATACCAAAAAAAAAATATTCTGAAAAAAAATTCAGGAAAAACTTAATTGAGACCAACGAAATTTTGTGCTGTTTTCTATCAAATTTTCTAGATTTCCTTATGACTTCTTTTTTCTTTAGATTGCTCTTCTCATTTATTTTTTCTATTTTATTTTATTTTATTTTATTTTATTTTATTTTATTTTATTTTATTTTATTTTATTTTATTTTATTTTATTTTACTTTATTTTATTTTATTTCAATTTATTTGGTTTAATTCTAAAGTTTTACTTTATATTATTTTTTCAGTTTATTTTAGATTAATTTATTTGATTTATTTCCTTTTTAATTTAAATGTATTTAATTTAAATTATTTTAATTTAATGTATTGTAATTTGGTTTGATTTAATTTATGTTTAATTTGTAAAATACTTTTTATTACTTTAGCCGATTAATTTGCAATGCAATTTGTTTTAATTTTAATTTTCTTTTAATATTATCACATTTTATTGCAATTGAAATCGAGTAGCGCCGTCAATTGCTTGATTATAAGAAAACGAGTTTCTTGTTTACGTTTACTCTTGTTGTTTTTGCTGTTGTTGTTTCATACGTTTTCTACATTTTCCTGGCTCTCGCCACGTTTGGTCATTATGCAAGTTTCGTGGCTCCCGTTTGGCAAGTGTTTGCCACACAACGAACTGGCAAATTGCATAACGGAAATTATGTAGAAAAATCGAAGAGATTGAAGGAAAATTATATGTGATATTTTAGAAGAAAGAAAGAAATACATTGGCAAAATTTAAAAATAATAAAAAAAACTAGGAAAAAATTTGGAGTTTTGTTTTTAAATCAAATTGAATATTTTCATATTTTTTAAATATATTTTTAATTACACAGGCATACATATATGTATTTCAACACTTTTTCATGGATTTACACTTTTCCCATTTCATAGAATCCAGACCCAATATACACATTTTTTTTTTAATTTTTGCGCGTACTAACGGTTTTGTGTTTCCAAATTTCTTCAAATTTACATAACTCAACAAATTTTATTTTCGTTTCCTTTAGATTTTCCACACCCGTTTTGTTGTTGTTTGTCGCTTTGAAACTGAATTAAGCAACGCCTCTACTCCGTTTGGCCAAATTCGAAAACCAACCGCTCGAATGAAAGTAAAATTCGCAACTGAAAACTGCAACGACGCGCCGCGCCGATCGAGCATCGAGCCAATGCAAGACCAAATACTGGCAGGTAAATCTTGCTCAGCTCTTGTTGTTGCTCTAACGCTCAGTTTTATTATTGTAAAAGCAGGCAGTTGTGAGTTGGGCTGCCGAAGACCAAAAACGAAAAAAGAAATAACAAAACGAAAAAAGGAAAAAAAAAACGCTGCAGAAAAACTTAAAACTCGAATTAAAAGTTTGAAGAAAAAGATCAGCACGTCAGCGCACGCCAAGTCGGTCGATCGGTCTATAGGCTCGTTAGGTTGTTGGCTGCAATTTGAATGGTCTAATATTTGTTTGGCAACCGGACTACCGGACGGCTACCACCAACGCCGCCTTCTTCCTGTCGCGACCAGTTATTTTCTGGCCTTCGGCTTATGGATTCATTCATCCGTTACTTTTGGAAAAATAATCGATGACTCAAGCACAGTTCCATTGCCTAGCTGAGTTTAGTGTGAATGATGACACTATTGCGTATCTGACCCAGGGTGTTATTCCCAATATAACTTTGACTCTTTGGCTCTGTTGGTTAGGGGTTAAAGGACGCTGCTTATAATTGAAGCTTAGTCAGGATATCTTTTCATACGGACAGGCCTTTCTCACACACCGACCAGATAAGCTCTCTTTGCTACCTTCCAGCCATCTGATCCTCAGAGAAAATTTATATCTATTTCTTTGCTCCCTTGAGTGACATCTTACAAAGTTTTGATTTCTGGCCGAGCTGAAGCATTATTCAGGGTTTATAGACTGTTATTTCAATGTACTTCAGTGAAGAATCATCTTCTAATTCATTGGCTTGAATTGAATAGTCAGTGGGTCAACTAAGTGATATATGGTATTAGTTCTTCTAGGCATCCTCCTGAGAAATTATTTGAAAATCTCTCAAACTCAATTTCAGAAAAGACTTTCTGATCTCCCATCAAGGTCCTCTTCGTAACACTTTGGTCAATTCACATTTCAGTTGTTTCCAAAGCTCGGCCATTCTATTGTCTTCCCATCATTACCGCACTGAACCGCCTCGTTCTCCACTCATTGCCCACTTGAGCTGCGCCATTCAAACATTTAAACATTCCGCACGTCCAACCAGCCATTCCCAACTCGTCTTCTCCATTCACCAACAATTGTTTTGAAAGCACTTGCAGTTTGCAAACACACACACACACACACACACATTAGATGCCTTGTCTTGCACTTGTTTTTGGTTGCTTTTAACTCTGAGCCAGCGGATGCAATTTGAGTGCTCAAAGTAGTGGCAGACATGATTTCTTGTGCGTGTGTGTGTGGAATTGCAACAATCAACACAACTATAAACAACAATTGGAACAAAGTGTATTTTTGTTATTGTTATTTTAATTTTTTTTTTGGTCATTTTGCTTCGGTTTCGCTGTCGGTTGGTTTTCGTTGTCTCAGTTGACATGTGTTGCAACCGCAACCAACTACACTTAATGGCCACACAATTGTCTTTGACAACAACCAGCGACGGGTCGGATTAGTGGCAGCCAAGTAACCAACAGAAAAGCTGACAAAAAGACTTGGAAAACTTTATTCTGAAAGCGAATTTAAACGAAATAGAATTAAGAAACAAAATCGGGCCGCTTTAGTTATGGACAAAGGTGAAGAGGGAGGCGTCGGTGGGTGGAGATATTCAGAACAAGCCCACTGAAGGTAGAATAAGGAGACTTCTAACTTTGATTTCGGCTTCGGTTCTAGGAGAGATGCGACTAGCTTGATTCCATCATACGTAGAACCATTGCAAATGCTGACGAGCCCAGCAGCTCAATCAGAAAGACGGATATTTTCAGTGAAGCAGCTCATAGAATCTCAAATTTGCCACAACCCAATACAGGTTGCCGAAAATTGCCTCGGAACTCGTTTACAGCGCGATTCCTTCCAAGACGTGCTCGAGCTCGATACCCAGAACTTTATGACATGAATTACGCATCGTCCGGCGAAGGACTGGGAGTCCGGAGTGCATCTACCCTTTTAAAAGTGTCGTTTTTCACTCAACTTTGTACTTCTTTTTGTGCCGCAGAAGCCGCTCACCTTAAACAGAGAACACACAAGAAATCAAAAGTGAATGCCAAATAAATGTGCACCAGAGCCGACTTGCCAACATAATTTTTGCTCTTTCGATTCCGCTAGCGACCTAGCCGACCAATTATCACATCAATAAACCAGTTTTTGCGGCAAATCCATGTGAGCGTCCAAAGTGCCAAAGTGTCGGAGTACAAAAGTTTCAGCGAGAAAATCAATTCAAGAAACTGTCACGGTCGTTGAACTCAACGCGGCGTTGCGAGTGAAGGTTGACGGCCATCGCGCCACTTAGCACCGAAAATGCAGCAAATGCAATTAAATCGCGACGAAATGGCAAGCGCACGTCTCTCTCGTAGCGCTTGGTTTGTTCTAGACTCCGCGTTGGCTTTACGCTTGACTGGTATGGCTGACTTGTTGGCTCGTCGTGGGTTTTTACCGCAAAGTTTTGCATTCTTCTCCGCTTGAATTGTGATTGCGAGATCTTTGGCAAGCTGCTTCTTCTTCTTCTCCATTGTTTGTTGCATTTGTAAGACTTCAGCTTTTCCCATTCACACCCTCACGCGAACAACACGATGTGGTCTTGTCGATGCTGTGACATTGAGCTGCCAAATTATCAAAGTTTTAGCACCTCGAAGGAAGCACAATGCACGGCGTCCTCCTTGATGGTCACGGCTAATTCGTGATACTTGCGCAGATGGCATTGTCTTGATTGTGTGAAGAGGTTATGCTAAAGAGCTTGTGTAGACGTGGCATTGTTTCCAAACAAAATACAAACAATACAGTCACTTGCTCAAGGTCCAACAAGCTCTCGCACGAAGCTTTGACTTTGATATTCATCAAAACTTGTTCTTTCTTTTTGAGGCGGAATATTTTATTCCTTCAGCCTAAGGGTATGCAAATTCAATAGATTTTGGGCTCTTTGTTAAAGAAAACATCAAAAAGTCGACTTTTCAGTAGATTAGACGTCAGCTCGCTCACGAAAGACCACTACAAACGCTTCTGTGACAAAGTTTTCGCAAAATGAAGGGGATTCTTCACAAGGCGTAACAAAGCCAACCTCAAGCAAATGTGGTAACTTGTCTCCCTTCACGAAAACTAGATGCAACCCTTTTAAAGCTCTATAAAGTGGAAAGTATTTCATTTACGCGTCATACCTGGACGGATTGCTCTATAGATGAATGAATCCAAGAGTCTTGTTAAGGTACCTCACGACAATGTGAGCTGTGGCACTTCAGAGCACACGATCCGATAGCAGACAATATCCCCGGAAAGCGTAAGCGAATGACTAAAGATCTTCCAGGCACTAGAACCCTGCCGTTCTTGAGGTCAAACGAACCCATGTGCAGGGCTTGACTGCTCTGTACGAGGGGTGGAGAATGAAAGGAGCTTTATAAGTCAAAGTTTACGAAAAGCCTTCTCTGAAAGTCTTAGAATTGCACAGTCTACTTAATCTTGCCTGAAAAGAGAGGAATACTAATATCTCAGCTACGTTGGGGTGAACCCCCTCGCAAAAGCAAGCCAACTCCCTCCCAACCTACGTTGTTTCAATGAATTGGGATTACGTCTGACTACTCTGCACGCGCCTTTTGCTCTTTAAAAAATAAAATATGCCAATCGAAGCGCATCCAATAAGGCTTTGCAGTGCAAGGCGCATCAGAAGCAAATGGATGTGTGTAATAACCGTAAAATGCAGACATAAATACTAAATGTGCCCACACATAAATAAGTAAGTACACTGAAGGATGTGCACAACAATCGGCTCGCTTTCGAGCTGAGTAGACAGGCCAGTTGACAGGCAGGAAGACAGCAGGAATCGGGATAGTAAGCTTATGGCTGTCAATACACATGGAATATGTGTAAATACATATATCGAGGTAATCCAATTTTATTATGCTTTCAACACGCAATAACGGTGCATAATGCACGGAAAAGGAAGAACGGAAAATTGTAAAGAATAAAGAAAGAAACCGCCATCAACACAAGAGCTGTGAATCTAAGGCGAGCAAATCAATTGACAGCTGAGCTCCAGAACTGCTGAGGGATTGCTGGGAGATGGGGACGTCCTTCGACAGTGTAAAGTCCCTAGTGCTAGCCTGAAGCTTCCCCTCTCTCTCTTTGCTGTAGGCAAACACAGTGTAGGGAGCTCTCGAGCTGATAATAGAGCAACTCAAGATGAAGGATGTTTATGTGGCAAAAGCTTTTGAAGAACCAATTGTGCTGTGTTGCATATGTGGACAATATGGAAGCGCTCTATCTTCATCGTTGAGTGCGTACGCATATTCTTATGGATACCTCCGCAAATCATTTTTTCTTTGGCTTATTTGTAAAAGCTTGCGCTGAATGAATTGTGGTATTTGCATAACAGTTGGAGCCCTGACACAAGCATACACGCACACTGGCACACGCGTTAGAGCTCTGCTCGCGGAAGCTCATACAGAGGATACGTGGGAATCCAGCAATCAAGTGAAATGGATGCGTGACGCCGAAGTACAGCGGTGGATCTTAAAGTAAGTACAGCCTCCTACGAAGTGCTCAAAGAGGGGGATCTCGAAGAGCTAACCATTAAAACCCACCAAGGAAATATTTTGGAATCGACGTTTATGAGGTGTCCTTAACGAGCCCAAGTGATCAGAAACTTATTATCAGAGCCAAAGAATCAAATTGCAGTCTCGTAATGAAGCAGATGTGTTGATTGAAGTGAGGACTGTACTTGGGACTTCGCTAAGTAAGTAAGCGGGAGAAAATGTGAAGAGTAGCTTATGAAGTAAATATTTAAAGAAATTACTCTCTAGAAGACACAATGGCTGGGACAAGTCCAGAAAATGTGAATATGTTGCCCAAAAAGATAGAAAATTCAAAATTAGAGGAACCTCTATCGGTCTTCCTGGCAAACTTTGAGATAGGTTTCATTGGAGAACTCTGAATACTCCA